TGTCTCCGCACACATCGAGCAGAGCGCGGCTGTGTCCGCTAAGGCCATCGCGGGTGGGCCTGAGCCCTCAGGGACAGCGGTCGAAGTCGGCGTGCGGAGGTAGGGAGGGGGTGCGACAGGGAGAACACTCGCAGAAGAACACAAGACTGCGTAAACCTAAACTGTTGGCGTTCCGAGCGGATTTCTTTGATCTCCGCGCGACCCCCCTCGCTGGCGCGCGGAGCGCGCCAGGGGCAGCACCGGAGGCGCCGCCTGTCGGCTCAGCGCGGATGCAAAAAACCCGCGCGAAGCGCCACAAGTTTAAATGTATGGCGTTGTGACTTCTTCGACTTCGTGGTTCCGCACACGAGCCAAGACGAGGCGGCGAGCGGGGCGCGGCCAGCAAAAGTGGCCAAGGATGGACCGAGGAGGCAAGGATGCAAGGGTACCCTTTCGAAGGTTGGACATCCTTACCATGCGGACGGACTGTCCAGGAGGGGGTGCGACAGGGAGAACGTGCGTGCTCCCGCATACAAGCCAAGAGCGCACACAGGGGGGCCCCACGCCGTCCCGCGCCGTGGAACAGATCGCGAGACGAAGCGTCTAGACTCTTTCTTGGGCGCCCGAACTATCCGGGGTAACTCGGGTCCGGGGTGATTCGGGCGTGGATTCCCGAAAAACCAGCCCGGGTTAGCCCTGACCCGAGATACCCCTCATGATTTGGGGCTCTGGACGCCCGAATTATCCGGGGTAAGTCGGGTCCGGGGTAAGATCCCGAAAAACGAGCCCGAGTTAGCCCTGACCCGAGTAACCCCTGCTGATTCGGGGCTCTGACTTTCGGCTTCTTGGGGGCCACCTGCCAGGCCCCGGGGCCGCTCGGGAGCGCCTCGGGATGGAGAGCCGGCCCCTGGGGAGGCGCTCCCGACCCCCGGAGGCCCACGCTCTTCGACCACGGCGCCGAGGCGGCGAAGAGCGCCCAAGGAGGCGAAGCACCCGCAGGTGCCAGACCACGCCACTGACTACCTACCAGACCACCCCAGCCCAACCCGAAGACCCGAATTTGACCCGAATTTCGGGTTGTGGGGGGGTACGGATACCATGTGTTTTTGTCAACGTTCCCCGACACCCCCCCCACTGGAAATGGAAGGCAAAGTGAGGGCTTCGGGTGGTTTGGTGGGTGGTGAGCCACGGGTCGGGGCGGCCACGCGGCGGCGACGGGTGCCCCACCCTGTGGGAGAAGCCGGAGGCGCCAGCCAGCGCACGGGGCGCCGACGGGGCGGTGACGGGAGCCCACCGCGCGAGAGCCGCCGAAGTCAGGAATCCCTTCTGGGCCAGCACTGGTGCTGGAATCGAGCCCCTGCCACACGCACGCAAATATATACACATGCGTGAAGAAGTTCAGCAATAAGTATGTGTATGAGAGGTGTGTTTACCTGCGCTTCATGGGATATGTATATAAATATATAAAAAACCACACACACATATATATATATATAAAAACAAAGAGGACATGTGTTGAACATGCTGTGCTATGTGTGTATGCGTAATTACTCATGCTGCTGCCTGAACCGGATCTCCTTATTTTGATCAGAATGATCATTCTCTGGCTGCCCCTTTGGCCCAGCTATCCGTAGCATGTTCGAAGCCGACCGAAGCTGACTGCGATTTCCGAGGACACCCGGGCCCATCGCGGACAGCTGAGACTACCAAAAGGTTGCAAAACGCGACAACTGTTGGGACACAAGTGATCCGCGCAAATTCCACCCAAGCGGCCCACGGGCCTGATACAGCTCCTTGTAGAATCTCTGGATGTCCAAGATGAACTTCTCGAACCGCTCTCGGCTCTGGGTGAACGCGCGCGAGGCGAAGTCGTCCGCGCTGCACAGGGCGGGATGTCTTGGTGTAGGAGAAGCCAGAGGCGGGAGCAGGTGGGACAGGACCATGAGCAGGTGGGCGGGTGCCTCATTTTTTTCCTCTCAGGCCCTCGCTCGTCCCCTTTCTTCTTCGAGGGCGACGATGGGGGTGACTAGCCCAGAGAGCCATACACGCATTCGCGCGGGGAGCCTCCCTCGCCGAAGGCATAGATCATTGGCGCCCCTGGATGTATGGATTGCTCCTCCCTGGGATATTCGCCCCTATTGTCGCCCCCGGCTTCTGAATCTTCTCATCGTGTGCCTCTCCTCCTCCTTCGAGCACCTCCCAATCCCGAAACCACAGATGACTTGCGAAAGCCATTCTCCACTCTCCCCTGGTGTCTAAACTGTCATAACTCCGAAACATCAGTGCTGGCGGTGGCCACTGGTAACTACTGATTCGCGCCTCGGGGGCCCAAACTGCAATTACCCCAGCCCGCAGTTATCATGGATGATTCGGGGGTCCAACTCTCCTGGATCATCGGCGCTGGTGGCAAGCAGTGGCAGCTACGGGCTCGCGTCTGAAGGTTCCAAACCAAAGCTACCCCGAACAACAATTATCTCATACACTTCGGGCGTCCAAGAATGCGCAAGGCGCCCAACAAAAC